CAAAAACATTTTAGATACACTCTAGTCGTAAAATATTTGAAAAAATGCGCGAAGTTAACAAAGAAAAATTGAAAGATTATCATTGGATAACATCACCTTTATTTTTTATTACGGCTGAAATTCTTTGGGGCATAGTGTTAACCAAGTTTTGGCAAAATTTGGTGTAAAACAATCCCATATTTCTTGAAGCTTTTGTCTCAGTTCGATGATTGTACGAGCAGGATGTTGTCATAGAACCTTTTTCATCTCGTGCCACAAAGTTTCAATAGGTGACAGATCTGCACTGCTAGAAACCCATTTCAAAAGTGGTACATTATTTTCTTCCATCTATTTTATAGCCTTTTTTGAGGTATGGCAGGCTGCACCATCTTGCTGAAATACAAAATCTTGGCCGGATGTCAAACATTCTTCCATCACTAGTAAAAGCGATTCTTCTAAAATTGATAAATATTTGTTTGAATCCACATTTCCATCAATAAAATGAAATTTGCCTACTCCTTTTGATGACATACTGCCCCAGACCATAATGGATGCTGGAAATTTCACTTTTCTCTTCAGACAGTCAACATGGAATGCTTCATTTTTTTGCGAATAGCTCTACTGTGACTGTCACCAACACAAACTTCGAATCGGGTCTCATCACTCCATTGTATCGCACACCATTGTCGAGGTGTCTATTGTCTAGGTTCTTTAGCCCATCTAAGCCGATTTTTCTTTTGCAGTGGAGTTAATAGTGGCTTTTTTAGCCTATAAACAAGTTGTACAGCTTTAGGGTTTTTACTTCACTTTTTTTTATAAGACAGCTTACGTTGCAAGTGCTAGATCCCATTTTGTGGGCCTCTGTATGAGTTGTGGACCTCTAAATTCTCCTTCCAACAGCGTCACTCCACAGAGCACTTAATTGTAAATAATAGGCACGCTTGTTTTTCACGATTATTCTTCTTAATGCTCTTCGGTCGGCATTTGTGATATTACTTTTTTTCACATATCGTGGCTTAATATTAACTGAACCAGTTACGTTATAGCTTCTAACAATATCTTTCACACTGTACCGCGATAAGTCTAACAAAGTTGCAGTTTCTGTGTTTGATTACCCAGAATTAAAAAATTTAATTATCATTAACCGAATTTTCTCACTAATAACCTTTCCTCTACCCATTTTGAAAACCTTAACTACCCAAAACTATTTTAAACGTATTCTGGCAGCTGTGATTAATAAAAACAATTGCCATGGCTTTTATTTTTCATAGCCACCTATGCGTTATAGACTTATTTTGCACTGAAATGAAAATAGGTTGATATGCTGTAACTGAACATGTGTTATTTTTATGCTGCAAGTTTGATTAGGGAGTGCTAAAGTTGGTGTTTTCTACTATATATTATCGAAATATTCATTGTTAACATTTTAAACCTATAACACCCTGCTACATTTTTATCATTTGCGTTTGTTAAGAAAAAAACTAAGATTTCAATAGTGGGGCCAACTGAAGTGGGAAGGGGATCGTACACTATTAGTTATATGTTGGGTTCCGAAGTCATTTTACATGTATCCCATTTATCATGCATATTCTATTATTCATTGAAAACTATGCGACATTTGCGATTCTAGGCTGCTGAAAACCAATTTCGCTTGTCGCGAACGATGCTGCATTCATTCAGGAAATTTGTGAAGCTAGATTTGAATGTCGTGAAAAAAACCTTAATCAGAGTGAAAAATTGATAAAAACCTGATTGACCGAGACCACCCGTAGGTCCTATCACTAAATTGAAATCGAGTCCGTGATACACGGACCCGATTCAGCCGGAAGACAAGCTTCCATCCAGAAGCATAGACGCGCAACAATTTCCGGAGATTTTTTTATAAGTATACGTTGTCAAGTTTCATACTTCGTGGCTTGTTATATACAGAGAAATCCATGTACCTCTACCGTCGTAATGCGTTAGAGAAACGCGAGAAGCGTGCAATACGTATGTCAGAAAGAGATAGAAGCATCACGTCGCCCTAATGATGAGGCCACGTATACTTTATCTGAAGTCACTTGAAACACTGAGAAATACCGGGTGCGTTTTATATATCTATATTTAACACGCTCTGTTGCTGCAAAAATCGCCAAATTTCGCAGCAAATATAAGAGATCAAAGGCAGTTTCACCGGTCCACGTGGAGTAAAGCACGCCTATGCGTGGACATAGCCAATGAGAAAGCGTGTATTTCAGAGCTCCGAACAAGTGCAGGTGGCTACTGAAAATTGAAACAGTTTAGCCAGTGCCGTGTAGCGGTGAATAGACGTGTTTTCTTTAGACTGTCCGTGTTTTTTCATAGATTTTATTAGTTTGTGTGTTTTTGACTTTTGAATACTCAGTTTACCTGTTGATTTAATTGTTGTGTTGATTGTTCTTGTGTGTCCTAAATATGGCTCTTTGGAGACCTTGGGAAAATGCTCCAAGCCACGAGGAGATGGTTGATGAACCTGTGCAGGCAGAATTCTTTCATAAAGATTTAGAGGAACAGACCCAAAGAGTAATCCTAAATATGTATGATTGTCTGAAAAACCAGATTCCTCGCAAAATCAAATTTTAAACAGAATTTGTATCCTGACAAAAATCAGTCGGTCTACCATTTATCGGGTTATAAAAAGGGGAGATGTAGTCAACCATTCCTTCCACAGAAAGCGCATAGGGCAAAAATTAAAAAGAATAGACGTGGGTTTTCAGGTAGATATTCGTCGTATAATATACGGATTTTACGAAGAAAATTTGGTGCCCACGTTGGAAATGATACGGGATAAATTAAAAGATTATCCTGAAGATTTTTATGCTTAGACTCACTGCACTGTATTGTAAAACTGTGTGGTTTTCAATACAAAAAATTAGATAAAAGAATGGTGATTATGGAGTCGTCTCGAATCGTTGAATTGCGCCAAGAATTTTTGCACAAAGTTAAAATCTATAGAGAGCAGAAAAGAAATCTGATTTACTTGGGTGAAACGTGGTATGATACCCATGATGTTGTGCAGTACGTCTGGGTTGACGACAGCAACAAGTGCATTTTAAATGCACCATGCAACCATGGAAAACGAATCATTATTCTCCATGCTGGCAGTGAAAATGGATTTATACCTAATGCCTTGCTGTTATCTGCCAAAAATATCAAAGAATCATGTGCCGACTATCATGAGGACATGACCTCCGACTTATTTGAAAAGTGGATAGAGCAGCAGTTAATATCAAACATTTCCCCAAATTCAGTGATTATTATGGACAATGCGCCATACCATTCCCGACAGAAAAACAAAATTCCGAATACAGGCACAAGAAAACAAGACATTATTGATTTTATGAAGGATAAGGGAATGGAAATACCACAAAAATCAACCAAAGCCATATTATTGGATCTTATTAAAAGACAAAAATTTGAAAAAGAGTATGTTGTTGACAATCTGCTTCAGCAAAATGGCCATGAAGTATTACGTCTACCTCCCTATTACTGCATTTTTAACCCGATTGAGTTGGTCTGGGCTGCTTTAAAAAAAAAGTAAGAAAACATAATCAGACCCCTCAATTAAGTGAATCGCTATTGGCCACAATAAGAGATGCAGTATCTCATATTGCTGCCACAGACCTATGGAAGCAGTGTTCTAGGCATATTATTGAAAAAGAAAATGAATATTGTGTTTTGCCTCCTGTAAATCCCGTTGTAATTCCTCTACAAGATGACTCTAGCGACAGCTCCGAAGGCGAGGATGATATATAAATACCTATAATGTAAGTCTTTATATACCTTTTTATATACCTACCTGCTATGTAAATATTTGCCTATGTCAAACGTTGGAATTCTGTAATTTTTCTTAACTTTCAGTCAACATAAATTAAACTCCCAATATAAGTATTTTTTATCCCAAATCAAAAAAATAAGAAGATAGTAAAATCCATTTATTGTGATATAAAAACATTATTATTATCGTTCTAAATAAATGACCGCACGCCTATGATACGTCATGAAATTACAAAGGACGCGCCGACCAAAGGCTTTTATGCTATTTCAAGTGATTTCAGATAAAGTATACGCAGCTCCAGCTTGCCGCGTCGCCATCAGCGCACTCTTCTCTTCTTCTCGCGCTTATCTCTCGTACACATTACGACGTCAGTGATATTTTCATGTATGGGTTGATATAGCATTAACAAGAGGGTATATCACAGCACATGTTACGTTACTGCCAGCATCGCGTGTCTTCAAAAAGGCAAGTCGGCGCGCGCAGAACTCGCCGTATTCAAAGGCAACGTGAGTCAACAGTGGCGTACGATATGTTTCCTTTAACCTCTTCCGTTTTGGTACTGGTCTACAGGGTGTTTCAGTTTATTGTTGCATAACTTTAAGATTCGATAGAACTTTTAAAATTAATGCATAAAGTCTATATAAACATGGGTCGTAAAATGCGTGGCTTCCGAAATACAGGGTGTTTAAATTTACTTTCTAAAATAGTTTTTTTTTAAATATTTCGAACAATATTTGATGTATAACAGTGAAAATTGGTATACAAGGGTTTTCTGGTACGACAAAACGAACCATGGGCATAGTTTTACTGTAGCCGCTAGAGGGCGCGCTCTACTGTACCTGTAGTGTATTAAAATGACCGAAAAATTTTTCTTGGTGCAATTTTTTGCTTTTGAATAAAAAAACTGATTCTTCGCACTTTTCAACATAATAAAGCTCTCGTAAATTTTCGTTATAGTTGGCCGTTTTTGAGATATTTCGATTTTTAAGGTACGATGCATTTTTAATTATTTATGATAAAATAACGTTAAAAAGTCAGTATCTCGATAATTTTTAGAAGTAGGTTGTGCCTGCAAATATTTTTGAAATTGAAAGCAGAATAAGGTTAAACGTCAATTAGTTGACAGTTAGTTTTGTTGTCTGTTGAAACCTGAAAAGTTTTTTGCAATTGTGAATGCACAAAATTTAGTTTCTTTTACCTGTTTTTTTTTTGTAAGTTTTATAAAACTGCCATTTTTATTCTCCAATCAAGAGTTAGCGGATATTCATTTTGTGTATGACTTTGTAAATGGAAACGCAGTAGAAGCAGCCAGAGAATATGTACGAAGATTTCCAAAGAGACGACACCCAACTCGCTCAGTATTTGTAAGAGTGCATCGCCAAATAATTGAAAATGGTTTTGGAAATCTCCAAGGGGATCAAAACATAAATGTTCGTCAGCGCAGATTTACCCGTATGATTCTGCGTGAGTTTGATAGAGATCCGACCACAAGTGTTAGGAGAGTTTCTGGTGCCTTGCGAATTTCAGCAAGCCATGTTCACCGTGTTCTTAGAAATGACCATAGACGTCCTTACCATTTGCAACCTGTGCAAGGACTACACTACAGCCAGGGGACGGAGAACGAAGAATCACATTTTCTCAGTGGATTCTTGATAGAACTGATAATAATAGGGAGTTTTTAAGTAACGTTTTATGGACCGATGAGTCATGCTTCACTAGACGTGGAGTGGTAAATTTTCATAATCAACATATTTGGTCGCATGAAAATCCGCATGCAGTTCGGGAAAGAAATTTTCAGCATGAATTTAGTATGAACGTGTGGATTGGTATCTACCGTAATCGTCTATTTGGACCCTACCTTTTGCCTGCAATGTTAAATGCTGCGACCTTCTTGGAATTTTTAAAGGCTGAACATGCAAATATGTGGGATGATGTTATGTTAGATTTAAGAAGATTGGCCTGGTTCCAGCTTGATGGTTGTCCAGCTCATTATTCGAGAATAGTTAGAAACTGGCTGGACGAAAATTATCCAGAAAGATGGATCGGCCGTGGAGGACCAGTCGCCAGGCCTCCACGATCCCCTGACCTAAATCCATTAGATTTCTTTGTGTGGGGATTTCTAAAAGAAAAAGTGTACCAGACTCCCGTAACCACAATAGATATGCTAATGATATAAGGCCTTATTTGAATAATGCTATACCACGTTCGATCATTCGTAGATGTAAATTGTGTAATTGAACAATTGGGTTTACATTTCGAGCAACTACTTTAGATTTTGTATGTTTGTCCCAACTATCCAGTAGCATTTCAGTTGTAAATAACTAATTTAATTTGTTAAAAATAGTAGGTATTGGAAAATTAAACAAATTAATATTCTGTTTTTTGTGTTTATTTGGACTTAGGAATTATTGCTGTGTTTAAAAACACAATCTAAACGATCATCTTAATTACTTGTAACGCCCAAATCGAAAATGTAAAAAAAATATTATTTTCCCATAAATAATTAAAAATGCATCGAACCTTAAAAATCGAAATATCTGAAAAACGGCTAACTGTAACGAAAATTCACAAGAGAGATTTTTTATGTTGAAAAGTGCGAGAAATCAGTTTTTTTGTTCAAAAAGCAAAAGATTGCACTAAGAAAATTTTTTCGGTCATTTTAATACACTACATGTACAGTAGAGGGCGCCCCCAAGCGGATACAGTAAAACTATGCCCATGGTTCGTTTTGTCGTATCAAAAAAACCCTTGTATACCAATTTTCACTGTTATACATCAAATATTGTTCGAAATATTTAAAAAAAACTATTTTAAAAAGTAAATTTAATCACTCTGTATTTCGGAAGCCATGCATTTTTCGACCCATGTTTATATAGACTTTATGCATTAATTTTAAAAGTTCTATCGAATCTTAAAGTTATGCAACAATAAAGTGAAACACCCTGTATAGTCGCTGCCCATTGAGTGGATAACTATTGAACAATTTTGTATTTTTTCCAGGATTACATCAGATATCGAAAAGACGTTTACCTATCAGACTTTTTTCCAGACAGTAATGACTCTAGTTATGATGGCATCATGCTTGTTTGTTATGTCTCGTGTAAGATATTAATTACTATAATACCAGAATATTTTGACTCTAAAATTCCTCCCAGAATTCGCATGAAGTTGTCAAACTTTTTACTTTTCAGGTTCCAGCAAATTCGATGTTGTTCTTTACACAAGCGGAGTACTGCATATGCCTTTTAACATCTGCAAGCATATTTTATTGGTCAGGTACTGGTATTATGGTGTCTGTAAGTTGTTTTGTTTATAATACATAAAATTAAGATGCGAATACCAAGTGATACTCTTATGCCTGGTAATATGAAGATCATATTTGCGTTTTCAAAAGGTCTCCCTATTCTCAAAATTAACTTACTTTTTCAAGAAATTAACGCACCACAAAAAGAACAGTTGTGCGACTTGGGCGATTTTTTGTGAATGAAACGCGGTACTTTAGTGTATTTACGGTAATTTTGTTTTTCAATATTTGAATATTTAGAGTCTTACAGATTGCAGATATACGTTATAATAATAAACGTCTTTCATTGAGGGTAAAACCTTAGCTTGAAACTATTCTGCATCTTAACCGTTGAAAAGTACAAACAATTAAACTGACAATTATAAACATGCATATTCAATAATCACAGTAAATAATGAAAATTTAATTATACATACAGGGTGGCGCATCGAAAACGAAACAGAAGCATTTACTGGCAGCTCAGTTTTTTTTTTTTGGAAAAACGCTCAGACTCGTCGATTTGGTTTTCGAGGGGGACACAAGTTTGGCAAAAAATCACGTTAACACGTGCAGCCCCCTGGGGAAAAATCAGAATGGTCGGCGGTACACTGCGAATAGGTTGATGTTCCAACAGGATGGTGCCCCACCACATTACGCATTACGTGTTCGACAATATTTAGATCAGACGTTTCCAGATCGATGGATTGGTAGAAGAGGTGCCATTGGACGGCCCCCAAGATCGCCAGATTTATCACCTTTGGATTTCTTTAAGTGGGGTCATTTAAAAAGAAAAATATATGCTACTCAGCCAACATCATTAGAATACCTGCGACAAAGAATTGTGAATGAGTGCCTTCAAATTACTCCTCAAATGTGCAGCAACGTTATGACCAAAATCTTTATTATTGCATGGAGATTCATGGTAGCCATTTTCAACATTTACTTGCCTAAAGGGTAAGTTCATTCTTCATTTTTAAATTACTTTGCTGCCAAATGGATTGATCTCCACTAATGATGATGTATTAGTTTTATTTAAGCTTAAAATCAATAAATCTTCAAAACTACTGAACTGAAGTACATTCATTTTATATCACTATAATGGGAATTGAAAGACCTTTAAAATAAGGAATCACTCGACCCCCCTTTCCATTTAAGATTTTGGGGGTGGTGTCATCCCCGCTTAGGGGGCTGCACGTGCTAACGTGATTTTTGCCAAACTGTGTCCCCCTCGAAAACAAAATCTACGGGTCTGACCATTTTAAAAAAAAAACTGTGCTGCCAGTAAATGCGCCTGTTTCGTTTTAGATGCGCAACCCTGTATATGAATGTACACCGTAAAGGGAATATTTCACTGTGCCGGTGACTACTTTTCTGAAGTAAATTGTTGAATGTGTTTCTTAATACATTAGAATTTAGCGTCTATGAAAAAACGAGCAGACAGCATCAACAAACCCGTCTAATGATCTGAATAGTGTATGCTCTTGGTTTAAAAACAACGGATTGAAGGTAAACTCAAAAAAGATCAGTTTGCATAATTTAAGTCTGAAAATAGCAATTTTCAAAGTAGCAATGTGAAACTTTATACTGAAGGCAAACAAATTGATCGTATGCCTATTGTGCGTTATCTTGGTGTAATATTTGATGAACATCTCACCTTTCATGATCATGTTTCCAGGGCTGATAAAAATATTCTGCCTAAAGATTTAAAAATTAAGCTCACTAACAGCCTCATCCCCAGCCAGCTGGGGTATGCTGATTATGTTATTGGTCCCTGCCTTATTCAACAGGAGGCTTTCCGGATTCAAAAAGTCCAAAACAGCTGTGCATGCTATATTGCACCAATATCGAGAAGAGAAGGAATTTCTAGGCATGTCAAGGATATAAAATGGCTTACAATGCATCAGCGATGGGTAGTACACGTCCTTTCTTATCTTCATACAGTCATTTATAATAAAATCCCAGTTTATTTGCTCAGCAAATTGCCTTTTAAAAGTCAGTATAATGACTTAAACTTGCGTTCTGGTGGACAAACACTAAATATGTCGTCATACAGGACAACCTTTTTAAAGAAGTCTTTCTCCTATGTGGCACCTTTACATTATAATACCCTAGCTACTCTAAAAACTCTGCCGATACAACCATTCAAAGTTAAAATTAAGTTCATTTTCAATGCTTTTACATGATTTCGTATAACATGACCCTCTGTGGTATATTATAAATTTTTTGTACCTGACTTTAATTCACCTGTTCAACAACTTGACTTTTTTGTGTAATAATACTTTGCTGAGAAAACTGTTCTTTTTGTATATTTTATTATTATTATTATCTTATTCACATAAAATTTTATTCATCGTGGAATTCAGCAGCTGCAATACTGAATTAAAATCGTAACGGTGATTTGACATTTTTGAAATATTAGTTCCACACTCCAGTGTTTCCGATTTCAAAAGAACCACACTTTAGACAGTATTAACATGATACGAATGTAATCTTCAGGGTAATTATAGATATTATTGTTGAAGGTAGACAACGTCAGGTCCCATGCAGCTCAAAATTCAAAAAATAAGGTTTAGTCATGTCATAACCATCATGAAGGAGCTCAAATAAAAACTGTTTATTTTCAGAAAGGGACCAGCGATCTTCCTCGTACTTATTTCAGGATGTTCTTCGACTTTGTGCAGCACTGCTTCCTCAATTTCAGGTGTTCTCACAGTTAGAGGTCTACCTTCAGGTGTTCCTTTTCGGACAGAACCAGTTTCTACCAGACGACGATGAATATTAGAAAAGGTTCGACTATCTGGAAAAGTACGATCGGGATATTTCTGTTGATAATCCGTCTGGCTTGCTCACCATTACCGTCTGCAAGGCCATATACGTAATCAATTTCCGCCATTTCCGCATTTGAATAATTCACCAAGATTTTAAAACTAAATAATGAAAAAGATGTCACAGCGAACAGATTTGAATAACACAGACTTATCAGATGTCAAAAGCCAGTGACATATTCAAGAGCAACTAGATATTTATTGCTAAATTGCATTCTTCAATTATTACATTAACTTTCTCTGACAATAGAACGGTTTTTATCTTTTTACTCAAAAATGGCGTATCCAAGAAAAACAATTCAAGAGAGATCATTTGTTTTAAATTGAACGGGGAATTTAAAAATAATTTTTAGTTGGCGTACCATTTTTTTCTTAAAAAATATCGAAGTCAATACCCGTACGCAGCTAAAAATTATTTTTGCATTGAAAAATATGTAACTTTATTAATTTCCACAACTTACTAAATAGCTGTGAAATATCTGAAGCGGTTCTGAAAATATTAATAAATTTCCATTTTTTTTTCTCGAATATCATTAAGGAACACCCTGTATAAGAAATAAGCTACAAACTTACCGGCAACACAATGGCTTGCTGGAGCAGGCTGAGAGAAACTAAATTTACTTAAAAATCGTCCAAATCAAGCAACTGATTCTCACATATACTGTAACTCTGGCTGTTTTTTGATGATGCATTATTTTTCGGAAGACATATCAGAGAGGTATTTATAAAGGTATATGTCCTAAGACTTTGCACAGCCCATTTGTTATACTTTAATTTACTCATCTGTGTATCTTGTGTTCAAATGGAGTAATTACTCCGAATAATTAAATACTCGCTGAATCAGGGCATTCGCAAAAGTGGTACCGGGTACAAAACGAGTACTTGGTACATTCGTAGGAGTAATGACAGCTTGCACACTAGACACTGCATTTGACTTGCAGAGCGATGATATTAGTCAGGCGTTCTACGACGCGAACTGGTTCAGTACCAGTAGGAGATTTAGAAAAGCGATGCTGATAACCATGGCCCGAATTCAAACACCTTTGTGCTTAACCATAGGAAGATTTGCGCCTATGACTCTCAGCGTCAGCGTAGCGGTAAGATCATGATTTTCTACCACCCTCCTCATCATGAAATAATGAAAATTATAACTTAAACATTTCAAAACATCTGTTAAACCTGATCACCCAAAAAAATTGAATGATTTATTTCACTTTTCCATTGCAGGTTTGCAAAGCATCGTTTTCGTATTACGCTGTTTTCAAAAGCGTTGAAGAAGAAGCGTAAAATCTTAGATGACCATAATGCAAACCGGACAAAAAATTCTACTTTCTATAAAACCGCATGAGTTGGAATCATTAATGTAATTACATAGATGCTTATTAAATATTAGCAAAAGTTTTTCTTTTTATTATCACCAACCATGTATGTTATATGCTTTGCGTTGCTGAATGTTTCTGACGTGATTTGACAAGGTCCATTATTGTATAGTCTATATACAGGGTGCGGCAAGAGGATGGACGGTTTTAAAAAAATCATAAAATAGTTAATTTTTAGGTAAGGTACTACCCATCCCAAAAACGTCCGTCCTCTCTGCCGCACCCTGTACTTTTAATTTCATGAAGTCGCTAAGTTATTGTCAATATCATCTTTGTGCTATCGACACTAAAATTTATGTCTCTTCTAAACGTGATCTGTCAGAACTTACAACAAACCAACTGAATACTGACTTGAATAGCCTTCTCAAAACCTCTGATGATCACTTGTTAAAGATAAACCCTAATAAATTGATGACTATATTGTTTTGTAGTGATTCCTACAGAAACGTATTAGAAAATACTATTAAGTTCAAACTAGGGGACAATGCTTAGGGATTCCGTAAAGGATTCTGACTTAGAGGTTGACTCTAAACTAAAGTTTAGAGAGCACATTACTCTGTGTCTAAGAAAACCATATTCATTGTTAAAAATAATTTACCCCCATAGACTTTAACTGTCACAAAATACTAAAGCCACGCTCTGCGAAGCTTTAGTGTTATCCCACTTCAACTTTGCTGGTATAAGGCCCATTTCTTGATAGTGTGGAACTGAAACGGGTTCAAAAAGCTCAGAATTTTTGTCAGAGACTGATATTTGGCATAAGGGGTGAATAAAGAGTATCCCACAAACTACCTAAACTGGGATGGTTGAATATGGCTCCGAGGCGTAACTTGCACTCTACTTCCTTTTTTTACAAAATTATAAAATATAAAAGCCCCCCTTATCTTCACATAAAGACTAGTTGCCGGACAGATGTACATAATCTAAACATTAGAAGGTTGAATTTGATTACAATACCATCACACAATAAAGAATCATTTAAGAAATCGTTCTCATATCAAACTGTCTTTTTGGTAAATAAGTTTATTTCTCTCTCGGTAGTTACATTTAAGAGGAACCTTACTGTCTCAGATATCATAGAAAACATATCTCCTGCTCCCCCTTTTCTCTTCTTCTCTTTCCCCTCGCTTTCTCTTCTCACTCTAAATTTCCATTTCTCTACTTCGCTATATTTCTTAATATCAAAACGTTATTAATTATGAATGTCTTAATAGCCATTTGCGTTATTATAGAATTGCTTAAATTGGTTTTTTTTTGCTCTAGCAGCTGCTTCTTTAAGGGGCAAGCTCATGTAGTCCTTTATTCTCTTAGGGCTTTTTCTTTGTAAAGTTTTATATACTGTTTAATGAGGGTGATGAATATTATTATTAATATTATTATAACCAGGTCATACTCGTAGTATGTAACCAAATTTTACAGCTCTCATCCTCAACTCTACCAATTCGTTTGTCTTCTAGTTTCAAGTTTATCTATTGAATTCAGTGATACAATCATTTCAAAATAAAGGTGTCTTGAATCTTGAAAATGTTCAAACCTGTAAATTTTGTAGTCCATGCAGCGTGCTGTTTCAAAATAAGATCACATGTCGTTTTTCTTCCAAGCAGAACTAGTGTACGATATTAGTCATTTGAATAGGTAGTTAAAAAACATACTGAAAAAGTAAATAAATATTGACTTGCCCTTCATCAATATCGTTTATTGCTCTTCTTATAGATAGGTACAAAAAAAAACTAAACCTAACCTGAAACTTTGATTCTCCAAGATATCCTTAGCTTAATTTTTAACATTATCTTGGAGAATGTTGATGAGACCAAGTTGGTAATCCTCGTAATTTTGAGTTTTGTGTCAATCTATTTTGATAACTGATTAGGACCATTTATTAGCATTTTTTATACAAAGTGTAGGTACTATAACAGCTTTGCAATATGACTTAACAAACGGACGCATATTACTGCATGTTGAGACATTACCATGAGTGCATAGTAGCACGTCTGTTGATTTTGTTCTTTCGTATTGGCAGTGTAAAGTGGGGAGTATGACATCGTGGTCACGTAGTGAGATAAGGGCAGTTTTATGGTATAACTTTACGCGTGGTTAAGCATAGACCAGGTCTTAGAAGAAATGACGCTTGCATTAAGGCGGCTCCGACGCAGTGAGTTTCAAGCCATTTACAACGGTTCAGCTGCTCCGAAACTGACACTCCATTTTTCAATATTTTTGAATGAAATTCACACAGTATGTTCAGAAGGTAATTGCCCAGGATGCTATAGGAGCACTTTTTGAAATTCAGTTTTTGCACAAGTTTTATGATGGGTTGAAGTGCGCACTTTTTCTGTTCAACTTCCAGATTTTTTCAAAAAGAATCTACTGAAAAAAATGAAAAAGTGGCTCTGAGGGGTTTTGTTTTCAGCACACTATGAGAATTTCATTCAAAAATTTAAAAAAATAAAGCGTCAATTCCGAATCGCGCAAACCTCTACAAATCGTATTGTGTCTATTGCTTCGTGCTGCCAACCCAAGCGTTGCGGTGCAATGTACGGACTAAAAAAGGACGTATTCAGATAATTTGCTGGCCCTATTTCATACAATACCGCATAGATAAGTCGTTCTGCAAATAGGTACTCGTAATCGCGACCGCCATTTTAATTCCCACGCCAGTGAAGAGGAAGTATTGTAATAGCGAAAAATTTCTAAAATATGATGTTATGTTTTTTTATTGTATATGACATCTACATCATGAAAAACTATATCAACTTGGAAATTACCGCTCGTATTTTTATGAAATCTCCACATGGGGTTACTAGTATGCCAAAGCTTTGTAGTTTTAGTCCAATGGCAAGGGTGCTATTGGCAAAAAAGAAAAAGTAACAATTGCTGAAACAATTGACGTTACAGGGGTACCTTATCATTGACATAAAAAAATGTACTGCTTAAAAAGTGGGGGCTGGGGAAGGTGATTATAAATGTTGCATCTTTGATATCAGTGAAACACGTTCTATTGTTAAGAAGCTTCTGGTCCCAGTGATTGCAGGAAATTCAAGTAACGAAAATCCGAGGAATAATGTGCTCACTATTTGAAAAAGTTGGTACCTGCTCTATAGGTTTGACACCAAGAGCCAACAGATCTATCTGCAACTGCCGACAGTAGGGAAGAATGAAGTCGGATATCACTCCAGTCAAGTATAAGCGAATATAGCGTGGAACTTTAAAATTATCGATATGTCAAGGAAATATGTTTTTGAGAACGATAATTTGGTAGATTTTATATCTGCATTTTTATTTGAATTTCATGACCCGTGAAATGTATCCATTTCGCCGTTACCTTCAATTTGTATTCTACAGTTTGTGATGTTTTTCTGGATATAAGCAGGACATAATTGCCTAAGGTGCTATCAGAGCTTTCTACAAAATTTTGTCTTTGTGCAAGAATTATGGTGGGTTGAAATGCTTACTATTTGGGCTCAACTTCTTGATATTCTGAAAAACTCCTAGTGGATAAAATCTAAAAAGTGGATCGTTAGCACCCTGTGGACTTTGTTTTTAGCACGGTGCAAGAGTTTCATTTGGAAATAATAAAAAATGAAACGTAAGCTTTGAAGTGCAAATCGGTTTTTGGTCGAAATTCGTCTACTGCTTCTTCCTGCCAGTCCAAGCGACGCGACGGTGCGTTCCGACTAGGAAAAAATGTATTCAAACAATTTGATATCTTTAGTAAAATAAATTCAAGAACTCAAATTCAAATTCGTTTATTCCTGTCAATAAACACAATTATGTTTAGAAGGGTCATGTGGTACATGGTAACAAGTGTACGAGGGTCATAAAAATATCTTATGCCGTCAAAATAAGAGGAAACAGTTAGATGGTTTTTGCAATGCAATAAACAGGTAGGCTTATACCTGGATTAAGTACATTTCTTGTCTACTGTAATAGGTAGATGGAGGCGATGCTGCCAGAAATGGATTTGTGCGATCAAAAAGGAAACCACAAGATTGAACTGCCGTGTCCATTGATTTTTGTATTGCCGTTTTTATTGCCTTACTAGAAAACTCTGTTGGGTATATGATAGAGTTTACTAGAACTTTACAGCTTGTTGTCTGCTTTCTTCTACAAACTTCACCAAATCGAGACGCTGTCAACCTTATCTTCCGATGAAGGCGCCACAAGGCACAGTCCTGTGATTTGGTGACTTGTTCGATCTGCAAAACCTCGTCGTCACTTTTTTTAAGTTTCCCTAAAAATTCTTGCTTAGCAACCTCCAAGTCAATGTCGTTCATGTCAGGTTTTTGACAGACTTCGCCATAAAACTATTCATTTTCTTTGGAATTGCTATCCGACTTGTTAGTTATTTTTATACTAAGTGACATATAAATCCGAACACCCAGTTTAAATGGTTTTATTTTAATAAAAGTTGGTGAATGTATTTATCTCACTGTAAATAACAAGTGAAAAAATTTTCAGCCTTATCAGTTGGACATTCCGGTTTTTATACTGCTTTTTTTGAATTCACTAACGCTCTAAAAATGAATATTTCAGCCGCAGCAAAGAATCAACGTTGGCGGATTTTGGTTCTTGACATCCTTTACGATCGGTTACGATGCCTAGAGTACGGAGACCTGTACGATTTCGTCAACTTAGTGAGTTTGATAGGGGCCGTATAGTGGGACTTCGGGAAGCTGGACTTTCTTTTCGGGCAATTGCAGTTAGAGTGCAAAGAAGTGTAGACACTGTGGTTAGGTGTTGTCAGGCATGGCTTCGAGAAGGCCGTACGCAAAGAGCAAGGGGCTCTGGACGCCGCCGTAGAACAACAGACCGTGAAGATCGCCGCCTAAGATTATTGGCCTTAAGGGACCGTTTCTCCACTACCAGGTCCATTGCAAATGAATGGTTTGCATAACATGGAAGACCTATTGGCATGCGAAGTGTTTACTGACGAATGAGAAGTTTTGGCTTGTTTTCATACCGGCCACACTGGGTCCTCCCTTTAACTCG